ACAGTATTGATGGTAGATCTTAAATCAAGTTTTTTTAGAGGAGAAATAGCTCTTGAGCATAACCGTTAGGCAAAAACTATGACCAGCAGGGGGGAGGGGGTGGCGTAAAAGAAACAGCTTGCCAGGAGTAAACTGCTTTAGGAGTGGGGGAGAGCCAAATGTCACCGAAACTGAAAGGATGAGAATAGGAAATCAAGTGTTGTACTCAAAGGTACAATCCAGGTTGCTCGTATGGGCGGAGAAGGACATCTATTGTGTCTTTTCGGTTGGTATACACCTCTTCTTCAGCATTTTTCAGAGGCGCACTCGAGAGGAGGAAGTCATAAGGAAATGCGGATATTGTTGATTGTCTCCGCCCTTGTGATCAGCGTAAACTGTGCATTGTAAATATAAACACAGAAGGCACACAGGAAACCCTTCAGAATTCCGCCACCCCTGCCGAAAAGCCCTAAGGGGCTATGGCCTTTATTTTAGGGCACTGCTTGGTTGAAGATTCTTGAATAAGGGTCCCATATTCGAGTTACTCTACAGAAGGAATCGTGTTTGGCTTGCTGAGAGGGGTCGATGTTAATCCGAAGATTTGGAAATCTTTATAAGGGATAGACTTTGCCATTTCTGGGGTTGTACACACCCTAATGGTGCACGGGTTTTCTGGAAAACTGGGATAAAGAGAGGTACGAAAGTAATCAAAGTTGGATTCTAAACTGAAGGGGTCGTACTTGGGGCAGCGGTGAAGGGTCGTCGCGCTGAACGACCAGTTTCCCCATTGACGTAGAGTGCCTTGGACAAACGCGAAAAATCGCAAAAGGTCAACAACTGGAAAAAGTTTTTTTTTCAGAAAAGAGATTTCTCAAGGCCAGATACGACTCCCACCCCTCAAGCGATGCAAATATATCCCTCCCCCAAACCTCCAATGGAAGGATATCTACATTGTGGATAGCTAGCGTGGAACAGGAAAAATCATTTAGCGAGAAAAATTTAGGGCGAAATGCGACTCTTCTCTACTCCTGTGAGGATTCCTCGGTACGACATGCCCTGGTGCCTGGTATACTTCGTCACTCCTACCGGGTGCAGAAGATAGTAAGAACACTTGCTCGTCGTTTTCCGGCTTCCTCATCGAGGTTGAATGTGCCTAGGGCGTTGTAGAAGTCAGCTCCACCAGCGCATAAATGCCTTCCTAGTAAAGTTGCATGTGTTGTGTATACGGTAGCGATGTCCAACTTCCACAGTCGGGTCATTAGCAGCCCAACACCTGGAATATCGTTGTTATTTCCGAACCCTATACCAGGATGAACGCCAGAAGAGTGGAAATTGCTGAAGAGGGACAACAAGGAACTTACCCGCTTGCCATTCATGGAAATGGGCTACCACCAGTGGTTGATAGTCTGTAATTGCGTCTCTAAAATGCTTCAGAAAAACTGCTACCATAAACCCGAAAATCACAGCATCGTTTGATTCTATGTCCTCGTGAGGGATACCGATCCGACACCTGCAATGAAAAACTATCATGAGGTATGTTCAAAATAGGGCTCTTGAGCCTGAATTCTTACTCTGTCTGGCACAGTGCCAACTATTGGCTTTCGATTACCAAGGGCGCGGAAAGTCCGTAGATGCTTCTGGAGGTTGAGAGAGAAGGGCACCACGGCACCTTCTAAGTCAGAGAAAATTCTGCTGAGCCAGAGAAAATTTGAGAAGTCAACAGGTCAGCCTGGCCATTTACAATGAGCTGCACACCCTTGTACGCGTCTTGGGACAGTGAACTCAAATCTACCTTCAGAATTTGCGGAACGATTCTCTAGACGGAGTGGAGGCTCTTATCCCCGCGTGGTCGTTTCACATGCTATCGCGAGGAAACGTGGAAGCGTCTTTACATTTATGTATGGAGTCATGCTGAAACGTGGTAGTAGAGCGCAACGGGTAGAGAGCGTAGAGCGCAACGGGTAGAGAGCGGGTTTCTTAGGCGAGACGTCGTAGGGTCGATTCCGGGGCAGGTCGCTTTTTTTGCATTTGTCCAAGAACATAGCCGACAAAGCTTCTAACATCTCTGCTCGCCTGCACTACCTTATAAGGGAACCTGCGACCAGTTTTTTTTAAGTGTAGACTCATTGTGGCCTGAAGGAGTGCTTCTGCTTGTACCCCTCGTAACACGTGTCACGAGGGTTTTTGCAATGAAATACCATCATATTCATGTTCAGCGGGTTAAAATACCCCTGGGGACAAGTTTCTAGCCGAATCTGATTTTTCGACCTCACTTGGAAAATGTGGGCTATTCCATGGGTAATTAGCAGCAGATTGGAGCTCATCTACCATCGATGACTGATCTCGAATTGGGATTTCCTCCATAGTCAAGAAAATGATGCAGACGGCACAAATAAGTAAGCCAGGTACTGTTGTTTACAAAAAGACATGACTGAAGAGTTATTTCAGTTCGAAGACCAGTCATCACCAGTATGCTAGTCATAGTATCGCTGTTAGCTATCAGTCAGCCATGACTATCCATACCCCATTTTTTGAAGTTGAGCCAGAACCTCAGATTTCGCTGAGGTCTCGTCTCTAGGGGTTATTTGACCCCTGAATACGAATATGATACCTATTTTGCGCGAGGAGCGCTGTGAGTCGCGCTACAGGTGCCAACGCTTCGGCGCCAGCGCGCCCGGAAGAAGAAAAACAGTGAGAAAAACCTCTCTAACTCCGCTCAGAGAATCGTTCCGCAAATTTTGAAGATAGTTTTGAGTTCACCGTCTCAAGACGGGTACAACGATATGCATTTCATTGCAAATGGCAGGCCGACCTGTTGACCTTTCCTGGTGAGTACAGCCCTCTGCATTTCTCCCCTCGGCATAACCCCTTTTACATCCGCCCTCTCGTCCGACCGACTTTTTTCAGAAAAAGGGCATGGGAGGTAGGACACCTTCGTTCAACTACCATAAACAGCAGTTTGCTCTAGTTAGTCAAGCCTGAACCTGTTGGGGCAGAAACGATTTTTATGTATCTCAGTGAGAGGACGCAGACGAACAGATTATGCCGCCCCACTGCGCGTCCCACCCCCAGTTTGGCAACACCAATCAAATGGACATTCTTATGGGGTGCTTTGTACAGGAGAGAGTCTGAATTACGCTCACCTGTCGAATAGCTCCTGCTTCCATTCATTCATTTTAGTGGCGCCCGATCCCAAATCAAACAGGATCACCTTCGGGTAGCCATCGATCAGCCAACGGCCATACATGCACTGCAAAGCAAAGAAGTGAGGAAACCCTGATTCTGTCTAAACGTCGTGATTCAGAAAAAAAATCCAGCTCTCCCAGACAGGTCCTGGGACCAACTAAGATAGCCCAGACGGATAAAATCCTTGACTGTCCAGACCGGAAGTTGGCCCGAGATCCGATCTTGGACCGATTACGGTACAAATGTACAACATTCCAATACTCCCCTATCCGTCTAGGAGGATAAAAAGTCGCAGAAAGTACCTTGAACCCGGATTCATGTAGTTTTTTCATAGCAGCTCTGATCGTTCTGAAATTAAGGGGTGTTCTCTTGGATCATTTCTTAGGCGTCGCCGATGTTACCAAATAAACACACCTATTTTCCGGTTCCACTTTTTCCACTTCTAATCGCCATTTATCATTCTTCATTGGACCGAACATACAATATTGATCTCCTGTAAATGTGATAAATTGAATACTAGTTCTAAAGGCAAGGTGTGCAAGAAGAACGGGCGCGATTCGGCTAAGTGGGGGCATTGAATGGCACCTAGCCGAGGCTTGTATAGGCCACCTTGTAAAGACCTGCAAACTCCTCAGATGAAAAAGGCTAACTCGCATCATTTTGCAGCTTCACAGGTGTTTGCACTTCTCCACAAAGCGAGATTTATTACTGAACACGAACTAACAAAAGAGACCAGCGAAAAGGCCAAATTCCCCTCTCAAGCCGAACAGCGCCAAAAAAAGGCTTACCTAATTCTTCACAACTGATTTGAGCTTTACTCCTCAGTACGGTATAAATGCCGCCAATCTGAAATTGAGGTGGTATTCAAAAAACCAGCTGATCGAAAAGCAGAATTACAATGAAACAGCACTTTTGAAGAGCCAATCGAAAATTCTTAAAATACCATCCCCACTGGCCCCTTGAAAAGGGCCGGTACTTTTGCTTTTCGGCACCTCTGCCGGAAAGCAAAGGATTTTTGCTATTTTTGCTCGAAGGGCATCATAATGCCCTTTTGAGCAAAAAACTCGTCCCTAAGGGGACTCCATGCCGGTTTTTTCGTCGAATTTTTATCTTGTTTTTCGCAGATTTTTTCGCCTTATTCGCATTTTGAAGGTATCGAGGAATCTTGTCGTTGGAACTTATGGTCAAGGATTCGAAATTCTAGGGATATGAAAGTTTCAGGGTACTGGTATATTAATGGTGCCATACTCCAATGAAATGCCAGGTAGAAAGATCCCTTTTCCTAGGGAGTTCCCTCCAGGCATAAAATTTCGCTGTTTTAGACTGTAATCCAGCCAAGGGCTGGAACAGGAGCAGCTAAGGACTAGAGCAGGAGCAACCAGAGAGGAGATAAAGCAAGACACCAGTGGCAGAAGTTTTGTCATGGGGCCAAACCCGGGCACATCACTTTTAAGGAAACCTTGGCAAAGTGAGAAGAAGCATATCGGGCTTATCGAAAATATTTCCTGTTTCACATGTTCTATATATAATTTCCAGTGGTCAAGCAGATTCCTTCTGTAGAGTATCAGCCTGTTCTCCCACCTGAGGGGATTTTCGGTGCTGCAGGAAGAGGTCGTATGTGGGGAAAGCTCTTCTCACGGTATTAGGGCTAAACGAGGAGAAATTGAATTGGTGATTTCTCAAAGAGAGATGGACGCCAAGAGGTTTTTCACGAGTTAATGGCCACTAGCGAGGTAAAGCCAGGTTTAGCCCACGTGGCATACACCCATAGCTAGCGTACAGGGTATGCCCCTTCCAATACTCCCAGATCGGTCGAGCGCGGAGGGGCCTAGAAAGGCCTTCGATAAGCTAACGGGAACAGCGACAAGGGTAAAATTGAGATGGCCGTGACCGAGGAACGGTAAACCGAAAACGGCAACAAAACGCGGAAAGGATAAATTCTCCCTCCCCCCCTCCCCTCCCACCCTGCGTACAGGGTCAAGACTTGTTCACTTACGTAATCGACTTATTAAAGTTTCAGTTAAGAACAAATAAAAGTCAATTGCTCATCGTTCTGAAGAACCTTGATATCTGGAATCTAGACTCAACTATTCCCTTACAAAGTCCATAGAGACAGTGTTTTACCTTGTTGGCGACTTCCCAAGCACTTTCGAATACGAATCGTCCTTCTTCTCGTGCCGTAATGCCTCCATCCAACGGTAGTACTTCGCGATCCCTCAATTCTTCGCCAGCCAACGCCCTGGCCACTTTGGAATACGAAAGATTCCTAGGCATGACACCATGTCCGGCCATGGTGGCTCCTGAATATTTATTGAAAATCTTTCTACAAGCACTCACGTAGGAACACCTGTGAGGCAGCCACGAGGCTGACGTTTGGATTATGACATCATTTGAACGAGCTGGGAAGGGCAGCAAAAGTGTAATAGTCATAAGCAAGGAAATGACGTCGTTCAGAGATGAAGAAGAATGAGAACGGAAACAAAAAGAAAAAGTAAAGATAAGAAGCAAGGATCATATGACAGCAAGGAGCAACGTGTTCGCGATAGTAAACAACCCACGAAAACAAAACCCTCGACCAATGTTCTCTCAAACTTCCCATCAGCAGTCATCGGAAGAAATTGATAACCAATCAATCAATTTCTTAAAACAGCCAATAGATAATGTGTCCAGATTTTCTTGTTTACTTTTTGCTGAGAAAGTTTGTTGTCACGTGGGTTGTTGTTGTTTTCCTCTATGACAACATACTCACAAGAGCTTAAATACAAGCTCAAAGCTCAAATTCAGATTCAAAATCATGTGAAATCCGGCGCTGTTGACAAAATCGACTTGGGGGGGGGCATTTGGCACTTCCGCTACTCCGCTCTGTTAGTTCATGTTACCTAAAAGGTCCCACATTGGTCAGACCTGTGAACTCCCTGAAGGTGCGAAACTGTCCGAAGGAGCCATTTCGATCGCAGGAATCCACAGGTTTCCATAAGGAGGAGATATGTGTGACAAGTGTGCAGCCCGTTCTTCCTTGTTTCCCGAACATGCTACAAAAAGTCTGAGAGGTGTGTGCACATTTTTCAAGTTTCTTCAAGTTCAAGCAGTTTGCTACTTCAATTTATTGTGCAGAGCCCTTCGGGCAGGAATTGAACAGAGAGCAGTGGCTGGCCACCAGCAACCTCTTCGATGGAGACACGATAAGAATGCGAAGAGGTGGATATTTTATCGGTTGTTGATAACACATGAAATCAACAGACATTAATTTTCCCTGTTAACACCACATTTATTGCTACGATGCTTGCTGTTTGTTGTTTTGTTGTGACTGAATGCACACCTTGGCTGCTGCGACGTGCAGACTTATATCAGGGGACAGAACGGCCATGGTAGGCGGAACTAACAAGGTCTGGGACCTCTGAACGCAGTTCTCAAGCCAGCGTTTGCCGCAGCAATGGCACATATGTATCTCCTTGCCTAGCCCCTTAGAACTTATCTGTAGTTCCTCAGCGACCTGTTTGTGGCTTGTAAGAAAAGCGGAAGTGGTCTTCGTAACTTACCACAACGGGACCAACAAGAGAGTGAATGTGCCATTAGGTCAGAGGGGTCACTAGCGTGAAACTCTCATAATTCTACGCAAGAACTTATTCCCCACTATCCACTGCGTCCTATCATTTTCAGTGAAATTACCAAATTTTATCGGCGATAGCTGATATCTATCAATTACAATTTTGAGGAGGGTTTATTACAGAACCCCGCGAAAACAGCAGCGATAAGCGCTATCGCATGAAACTTACGCTCGATATGCCCAATAAAAAACTGCCCTGTCGTGCTGTCCCCACGACAATACCACAGGATTACCCAACGCTCCTTGAATTATCCTATCTTGGAAATCTTAAGCCATTCGAAATAAAAAGGCAACAATAACCAATACGTTAATCTTAGGACAATAGCCTCAACGAGTCTGAAATGTTGTGAACATGGAAACAACGAACATCGTCGTGATACAGAATAGAACCGGGGTCGTGTTTCGCTTTGAAATATTTTTGAATGCTCATATTTTCCTGTTATCCGTTCCAGGTGCACTGTATACCCCAATCCAGCGAAGCTCGAGGGCAAGTGTAGTTTTGGAAAGGTGTTAAAAGCGCACTCAGGTGGTGAAAAAAATCGTACCGGAGCAAAAAAAAATGAGTGTTCGTATTTAGCCACGAATTTTTCACAACTCGATGTGAAATGTGTGGAAAAAGAAAAGAAAACCAGAAGGCACCAGAAGTGAGTCCCCGAATTTTCTTCCACTTTCTTCGGATTCTAATCGAACTTCTTCGTGTCAATGACTACTCATCGTTGAGGAAGAATAAGAGATAAAAATCACTGTAAAGCAGCGTTCAATACTTTTGCGGGCTTTTCGTCCACAACCGAGCCATCGTCCACCAGTGACCAGCTGCGTTTACCAGCGTCCACCAGCGACCAGCAGCGTTCAGAAGTGGAGAGCATGGGGCCGATGACAGAGTAAGCAGACAAAGTGGTTAGAGTATGGGATAATAGAGAGGGCAGCAGATCAGCTAGGATGAGAGTGTGAGGCAGTAGGAGGATCCAGCTGTTCGTGCCAGTTCTCACTATCGCCCCAATACTCTTCACTCCTGGACGCGCCTGGCTGCTTTATGGACGCTGCTTTGAGCCGCTGGATCGATACTCATACTTTTCCTAGCCCTCGAACGCTGTTGGTCGCTGGTGGACACTGATGGGTTCTAGATATATCTGAACTTTCCTAATCGCTGACGTTGCCGGACTCTCGGAACACTACTGGTCGCTGGTGACTGCTGGCTGGAGCGCTGGTAAGACCGCTGCCGAACAAAGATACGCAGTCCTATGAAAGCTTTTTGTTAGGCTGCTAAGTCCTTGCGAGATTTATAGGTGTAATTTACTATTAACTAGCGCTCTTGTGAGGGAGGCGAACTTTCTCGCTTGAACGATGGAACTGTTCGCCTCTGGAGACGACGATAAGGTTTGAGCTTATGGTTGGATCATTAAATAAGTGTTTTTTCACCCCTAAAATCGGAAAGCACCAAACAATCAACACAATTACAACCACAAGTAAATGTGCCAGGTTGGCAATGAGCATAGAAACTTCGAAGAATGCTGTAAAAATAAATAAGTAACTCATTTGAAAACAGAGTTCCTCTCAAGCAGAACCTCAAGAATGCCTGTAAGTGCGCCTTTATACAAAGGACCGCCTCTTATCCCAGAAGATGGTGTAATACTTTTTTTTGAAAACTAGCCGAATTCCAATGACGTTTGGAAACGTCGCACTTTGTAGTTCAAGAGTCATTTCTATCTCCGCAAGCGAAATCACCCGTTCACTAGAATAACGAATAGCGCCATCGTTATCTCAATGTATTGGGTTGGCCCATAAAAAATGGCGTTTTTTTCTCACGCAATTTATAGGGAAAATGAGTAATTATTCCAATACGTTCTACATTATTTACAGATAATTCTGCTGCTGCTATAAAGATGGCGTGTCGCTGCCTTGTCCTACCGTAAAAATGATTTTTGCCAGGATTTTTATTCCATTGAAATGAAAAGTCGAGTCGACCCAAAAGTGTGTTTTCGACAACAGCTTTTTGCAGTTTGTCTCGGCTCTCAGATCACAGAAGAAGCTCAAAACTTGTGACATATATGGCCAAGGAGTGACGCTTCTTATGACATCTTGAATTGGTTCGAGCTATCAAGAGGTGGCAATTCAGGCCTTGTAAATGTGAATCGCATGGGGCGCCCCCCCCCTTGACGAACGACTGCCTGCAGAACGTACCCCTCCTAATTTTTGAACGTCTGACATTAACTAAGGGTGGTGCTCGATAACCATAAGGAAGAATTCCATGAACCTCTAACGATTCCTCAATCTTTGCATGAGTCCTCTGTAAATAAGGTAATGGGTTAGTAACCTTGCAGTTGAAATTCATAAGGCATCAGGTTCGATTTCTGTCTATGAGGTCAATATTGAAATGTTCGAATCTGGTAAATCAGTGTGAACATTCCTAAGAGTTGCTAAGTACATATACAGGGGGGGGGCAAAAAAAGTCACTTCGACCGAGTCACATATCAGCAAAGTTTTTGCAGCCCAGAGAGAAGATGTGGATACGAGTACCAGGGCGGAAGATACCCAAGATGTTCCTCGATAAGCAGGAGCTGGCCCTCGCCCATCACCTTCATGTACACCAAAATATGAGGTCATCTCCAGTCGCAGCCTGACTGGAGAAGACCTTTGGAATTCATGTCACCTCCAAACAGCTGCGAAACTTCTAGTGTGGAGTCACCCATGGGTAGCTACCTGGAGACCAGTACTCTCAATCTGGAGACCTCCAACATCGAGCAGCTTCGTCAACGTCGCTACGGTCTAGGACATCATCACCGCAGGTCGTCAAGGAGCGGGTTGATGGTATGGACCGGAGGTACCTGGAATGGAAAGACCAATATTTTCTTCGTGGACATCGGACTGAAGGTGAGCGCTGGCGGTTACATCGAGCAACTCGAGAAGAAATATCTCCTCAATGTCGCAGCCGCCTACCATTCTTGGAATCTGTTGTACTGGCTAGCAGCACTGTGCCACCACGATGGAATCGAAGGCATTGGAGAATATTTCCGCAGCTACTTGGAATGGAAGGAGGGCTGAGTACCTGAATGGGGGAGGGTAATATCCAGGTAGGGCAGCCTCACATGATTTCCCTCAATTAGCCTGGTTCGGGCGGAGTTTAATAGGGTGGTCTACGGTGGCGGAGAAATCGACTATCTCGCTGATCTCAGGACCACATCGAGGTCGCGTGCAAGAATCTCTCGATGGCGCTCATCCGGAAAGGTGTGATGGAGTTTTATAATAGTATTTAATATGCTCTTTAATATGTTGTTAGAAAAAATATCCGGCATTCGAGGAGTGTTTCAATATCTTGTCCTTAGAGGATTGTGGTTAGGTGAAACGTTTATTAATAATGGCCTAACGTTTCGACTTAATCGTCGTCTTCAGAGGCCTGAATGTGTTTCAAGCATTAGATATGCAACCTACCCCACCAAGCACCTCGTCAACTCTAGCGGTTCCGACGTCGTGTCAGGAACCCCTCGAGAAGACGCCAATATCGCAAGACAGAGACTCACCAGTGGTTCCACCGTTTGAGCGGATAGGTCCGCGGCCACACTAGAGCGCTGTCAATAGAAAAATGAAGAATACGACGTCTCCGTATAATGACATATCAGGAGACGGACGTCACGCTCTGTCATTCTACAGTTCGCAGTGGGGTATAAACGGTAGCAGATCGTTTGTG